AGTCGCCTCGCTCCGCTCTGCCTGTCATGAGGCGGCGCGGCGATGCCTTCTTCCAAACAGCAACACTGGTTGTTGCCTTTAATGTCCCTGTCCTCAGACGTCATGATGTCCCTTCGCCCCAGGGATCACTAACCGTCCTTTCAGAGGAAGGTTCTGTTCCACTTCATCTGAGGGTCCTTGTTATGCTGCCCTGCTGTGTTTGTTGCAGCAGAGTTTGCAAGTGGGATGAAAAATAGTGAACATTTTCTAACCTTCGTTAGAAACGGTGTCACTGCAGCGCCCCCAGGCTGCAACTCTCACCATCACAGTGTGAGCATTGTTATGAAATTTGACAGGAAATACAGTAGTGGGGACTGTTTCTAAGATCTGACTCTGAGTCAGGACTAACAGACCTGGACCACCTGTTTTAGTAGTTTATTTACCTGGACCTGATGCCCCCTGTAATTGACTTAATTCAAAGAAAATGTATTCAAAAGGTAATCTGGCAATATTTTAAATAAGCAGACGATAATGGATGGATGGAGGTCCCAGGCAACAACAAAAAAGGTCGGGCACCGCTGGTATAGATGTAACTACTCCATAACAGCCTAATACATGTTTCTGTAATTGATTATTATTACAAATACTGTTCATTTGCTATGTAATAAAAAAAACTGTTTAATAACTCAGGTAAGAAACTCGGCTGCATGGACTTTACTACATACTTTTTAAGCTCCCGCGGGCCACACAAAGTGGGTCAGCGGGCCGCATTTGGCCCCCGGGCCTTGAGTTTGACACATATGCTCTAATATATTCCTCAAATACAACAGCTAGGTGCCTCGACTTTAATTAGAAACAGTACTTTTTGTTTATGTTTCATTTAAAAGGGTTAAATGATTCCTGTGGAGTAGAGTATTTTCATTGACTTTTTCAGGCCTTGCTGTAATTACTCTACTGTGAGTCGGCGTGCACAGCTGACAGGTAAGATGCAGCTGAATAAACAAAAAGGAAGAACAATTCTTTTGGTATCTAAAGAAAATATGAGAATGTAGAAATCGTTTTTTCTTTCCTGATCTCCCAGTCTGTGAGGAAACTCAAACAGACAGAAACGACTGCAGGTGTGACATCTTCTGTAGTTGGAGCTCAGCTTTGGTTTTAGGGGTTAGGATCTGAGTGGAGTTAGAGTTCACGTAAAGAAAAGCAGACAAGACATCGGCGGGACGGTGTGATCTGAGAAGATTCCTGGATTGACTGAGGCACACATCACACACTGACTAACGCAGAAACACACACACACACAGATAATAACAAAGACCCCCGCTGTGCAACAGATGAGAGAGACGCAAAAAGAAGCAGGAAGTGACAGCGGCAAGATGGGAAAAAAAAAAGGAGGTGACAAAAAAAGTACAGACACACTTTCTCGCAAACAAAGCTTCGATATTTTACCTAGAACAACTAAAAAAAAAAAAATCAAGTAGAGTATAACGGATGAAGACACGTTTACTGCTGTCACATCTCATCGCCTTTTTCACTTTTGACTTCACTCATATGAAAACACATTAGGTCTCTGTCCAAAGAGCATTCATTTAAAAAAAGACTTATTTTAATGGAAGGAAAAAAAACTTTAGGTGATGATGAGGATAAAAAACCCCAGACAGATCAAAGACGCTCCAGTGTGGAGGATGAAACAGAAGTGAACTTTTTTTCTTCTTTTTTCTTTACACTCTCTCTGTACGTCCACTTCAGCCTTGTTAACTTACTATGGCTGACTCTCAGGTGGGATCACCATGGTAACGGGCTAGCACAGGCACTGGACCGTGTCTACCCTGCATCTGTGGCCGCTCGCTCTAAAGGCTTCCACCTGAGCTCGCACAGAAACAAAACTTGGGAAAGTTCCATGGAGCAGGAGAAACGCGGCGGCTTTAGCTCCTGGATGACATTTAAATGGATGAAACCCACTTATTTCCACCGTTCACGTCAACGTTCAGATCTGTCTATAAATACTAAACGGAGCTCAGCGAACGGCAAAGCGAATTGCACAACTCAGCGGTGAAATCTACATTACCGTGAATGAAGATTTTCCACGAGATAAAAGAGGCCGGGGGAAAACGGGAAGATTTACTCTATCACTACTGCGGCTGTCAGTCAGCCGTGATGGGAGCCACACAGCAGCGGTGGAATCAGGCACAACAATCTGATGCATGTCAAACCATAGAGGCAACACTATCACCAATCACTTCTGTCTATCTGTGGGTTACTACAAGATGAAGTTGGAGAAAATGAACCAAAGTCTGAATACAGAACCAAGTGTCAGCCACTGACACTTTATTATTGAAGATTATGATAGAAAAAATACATTTCCCTTAGAGTCCAAGTCTGTGTCATTATAACAGGCAGCTCATGACAAGACCAAGTGAAAACCTGTTTATTTTTTATACACAATATTAGAAGCTAAAATGTAAGTGTAGAGTGGCTATAAATAGATTCTACCAACCCCTCTCTCTGCAAGAAAAAGAAAAACGGTTCCCCATTGTGTGAGATAAATGACGGAGCCAGGACTGGTACTGATCCACATGGAGGCCCTCTTAGTTTATGTGTTTATTTGGAGCCAGTAACCAACAGGACAACAAGATAAAGAAACACTAATCCTAACCCTAACCGATTTTCATTTTGTGATTTTTTTAAACCTCACAATCACAGATAAATGAACTGTTTTGGACAAAAACCAATAACAATTCCACAAATACGGTTTAATTTTTAAGTTTACAAATTTCCACCACTCCTTAACCAGGTTAACCCACGGTTAACCTGGTTAATTTAAAATAATAATAAAATAATAATAAAATAAAATAACATTTCACACCAGTGAAACTGGTGTCAATCAGGGATTCAAATTAAGACAGATCGGCTGTGAATGAGCAGGTTCTCAAAGTGGTTGAAGGAGGCTGTTGATGGATGAGAAACAAGGTAATTTTTTAGGTAAGTTTTTAACTGGGACCTTGAATCAGGTGAAACAGTGGTTCGGTGATTTAGGTGTGTGAATGTTAATCAAGTGTTGATCTAATCTGAAAAGTCTGGATATCAACAAACTGTAGTTCAAGGTGAATGGACCACAGAACACTGACTGAGAAAAACTATTCAAATATTGTAAAAGCCAAAGTGGACGTGTCCTAATTTTTTAGTTGATACGGGTTGTACTCCACAATAAGTGAAACTTTCTGTGTAATTGTCCAATATTTCTGCGGTGCAACTCTGAAGCAGCCAAACAATGTAGATGAATGAGTGTAACAGATAAAATCACTTCAGTTCATCTTTAATACGTTTTTTTTTTCACAGCAGAGTTTCAATCTTCTCACAGAAAGAAAACCAGTGATGGAATTAATTATTGAAACTCTTCAAAGCCAAATGAGTTTCTTTTTTCCACCATATCTTCAAAACATTGTGTAATATCGTAATATCATATCGACGGCTCTGACCTCAGAGTCCTGGATTTCAACTAGAGCAGAGAAGAAGGAACAGAGATTGAGGCAAAAAAAAAAAAAAAAAAAAAAAGGAACAAGCAGCTCCTTCGACTGCTCAGGTCAAAGGTTGAGCTCCATAAGTCCAACTTAAGTTTCAGACTTTTATTTTCAGATTACATTCCTCCACCACCTATCCTGTGTTCTCTACAACTACAAAACTGCCCTTCTTCAAAATATATATAAAAAAATCCTTTTTATTCAATAAACTTTTTAGGGCTTTTTGGTAAAATCAAATCTTTCCAAGTCAATATTTTATAGGGGAAAGTGCAAAATCAAACCGACATCATTAACATTTATTCAGTTGCTATTAAAAGTTTTCCAGATCTGTCACTACAGGTATTCAGCTTCGGTGAATGGTTCAGGTATATTTTAAGCATTTTCTGTTGGAAAAAAAATCAAGCTTAGCTGGACAAAGATGAATGGAACATTCAAAAGTAGCTAGTAGTAACACATTTGCACTAATCACACACCCGTTTGATTTTCCACATCTGCCTTACAGGCAGAAGGTCCAGGGCTCGATCCCCAGAGGAACCACGTAGTCAATGGCACCTCCGGTGGCAGCCTGTGTAGGTGCACACTGAGGATTTCCCCATCGAGGGATGAATAGAGACTTAAGTTCTAGAATGTGCGTGCTAGAGAGTCGATATTTTGATCAGGTCATTGCTCAAAGATAGAGTGTACTAATTTGCCTAATTTGCCCGAGGCGTTAAACCTGTCTGTTTGTGACCGTGATCTTCTTCTTCCTCCAATCTGTGAGAGGTGTTTTTTTTTTTTTTTAATCTTTTGTTTCTGCTTTGCTCAACTTCACTGTTTCTCACCAGTTTTCCCCACTTCAGTGTTTATTTATAGACGCTCTTTCCCATCTGTCACCCATCATCAACTTGTTTACCTTAACTTGCAGTAATCAGCATTCCCTTACAGCCAGAAGTATTTAAAACAAAAAAACCCCGAGATGCTTATGGTAATCTATATAAACCCATTCCATTATTGATGAAGCGGCTGAAAAAGGACGACGTCAGTAGACACCCCAGCTGTGATGTCTGTGGAGCTCCTCCTCCACATCACCCGTCTCACAGCACAATTCCCAAAATGAGAGATGAGACCAGCTGGACTCAGGTGTTCCGTTTGAATTTGCCGATACATTATTCCACAGGGCGTCCCCCTCCTCCCACTACACTCCCCCTCCACTTCATTGTCTGCCCCCCCGCCCCCCATCCTCGCTCTCCTCTGTGTCTGTTCCACATCCTCTCTGACTACAACTTTGTCAGTTTTCCTCTACCTCTGACTCCACCATTAACAGTTTAACCATTATCCTGGATCACACCATTATTTCCCCATTTCCATGCACCATTTCTGCTGCACCGTCACTTTCGGTTCCAAAACAGGACACATGTCATTGTCAATCTCCTCAGTCATTTCACCTCTTCTAATTTTTGTCTTTTCCACGTAGGAATTACCCAGAGCAGTTAAGGCAAACCCAGGTTTCCTTCCCACCGTTACCTTTCTCACACGTGGCTCCTCCGTAGCTCGGCAGACAAAGACAAACAAAGGAGTTGATCTCGTCGATGCACGTGCCTCCGTTCTGGCAGGGATTGGATTGGCAGTCGTCAATGTCTGTGTGGAGAGGAGGGTGGGGTAGAAGAGAAGAACTATGTAAGTAATAGTAGCACATTTCTTCCAAAGAAAGGCATGAATAAACTTTCTGCAAAGATTGTATTTGATTAAAAAAGATAAAAAGATTTCACACTCGAAAACAGCACGGAGAGACAGAGGGTCACAGATGACGAGCGCTCCCATCTTCAAACTCAACTCTAATGACCAGCTGCTAGGTACAGATATCAGGACAGTTTTATTGTTAGCGAAAACAACCAAAACAATAATTGTCGTCTCTTAGGTGTAAAGCCAAAACCAAGTCCGGAGATGCAAATCGATGGACATGTTTTGCAGAGGCGTTGCAGCGGTGAGTAAGCTCATTTGGATGAAAATGGTAACTGTGTTTCTGCGGCTGAGCTGAGCCTCGGGGCAAAATCATTAAAACTGCAGCTGCTATCTCACAATTCTCCGCAATCACAACAACTGAGCGATTCCCCTGGGCTCCAGCAGGAGGTCAAGGGATGGAAGAGGGAGATGGGGGATTACAAAAAAAAAAAAAAAAAAAAGGAATCCAACGGGTGAGAGAGGTGGTGGAAGATATGAAGATGTTGAGGAAAGAAGAACAGTTTTTCATCAGTGATGAAAACATTTCAAACGAAATCTGGAATGTCGGCATTTTTGATGGGTGTACTACAGGAGACAAAAACATCTTATTTTGTGTGTGTTTTTGTCAGAAGAGTGTGGCAGTGTCACGGTGGGTTCAGCCTTATTCTGGCTGCCACGGTGTAGAGGTAGAACATGGTTGCGGTGATACACTGATATTCATGAGATACGTTTAATGAGTTGGGGGAGTCCACATCGGACCCTCCCACTACAGAGAGTTCTCACAAAATAGAGTTGGTAGGAATTTGACAGAGCAAAGATACTGCGACAGCACGGTTAGAACTGCAGAGACGGCAGGTTTTTTTAAGTCGAGTACGGGGGAGCAGTGGGACGATATATATCAGAAGTGGAGGATGTTAATTCAAGAGGATCAAGTGTAAGAAGAAGCAATAAGAAGCAAGCATCGTTCATCCACGTATCTACATCTGCTCGACAACAACATATAAATGTAGATTTTTTAACCTGTCTTGGAACTTTTCGACCTGGCCTGGACCGATAAAAATAAACCCACGGTGACCATGAATATAGGTTATATTTCCTTAGTTCCCGTGTCCTCCTCAAATTTTCTAGTGTCCAAACCCCAGCAGGCCTGTCCACTCCAGGTCCACTCAGGCACCGCTCGGCTCAACTGGGTTAATGAGAGAATCAGTCAAGACTGTGAGAGTGTGTATTTCCATGTGTGTCAATCACACACTGGCTCACTCTCCAGTACAACAAAATTAGACCTGGACACCAGTTCAGTCTCCAGAGAGTCAGGGAGAGCAGTCTTCCACTCATCTGCCGGCTGACAAACGGATGTGGCGAGAAGCAGGTGCCAGAGCCTGCCGTAATTGCCGGGTGCAGCTAACACACCGGCGACGGAACAAGCTGCTCATTTGTATCTGTTAGGAAAAGCAGGAAATAGCGATGAAAATTTGATGAAGCTGACACCGTCGGACAGGCAGAGACTGGGATTTTAACGGTGGTCCCGCGCCGATTGAAGAATACATTATTTGGACAGCGGATGTTTGATATGTGACTTGAACTTGTTGTTCGTCGTGCCTCTGTGAGAGCCGAGGAGTGAGAGTGCGGTGGAAGGGGAAGACGAGAAGAGGAATACGGGGGAGGATATTGAGGATGCGGCCAGACAAAGCGGGGGTGGTGTCAGTTGACAGAATTTCAAGAGGCTTACTGCAAGCATCTGTGGAAAAGTGGGGTATGAATAATTGAAAAGAGACAGAGAAAGAGAGAAGGAGACAGAGGGGAAGAGTGATGGGGGTGGGGGAGGTGGGGGTACAAACAGAGAAAACCGGGGGTGGACCGGGTCATCCTTCAGGCCGTATCATGATCATTTGTCAGATTAGTGAAACCGACTAATTCACCGTTACTGTCTGTCCCACCATCAACATGGACACTGTTCCTGACTGTCAGTCTGACTGATCCATTTCTACTAAAGTGACGATGATCATTCTGAACTTTTGGTCCTGTGGTGAACTTTCAGTCGGGTCACTTCTCTTCTCATCAGAGAGACTTCTTCAGTTCCTGTCTGACTGCAAACATTTTTTGTTGTGTTTATAATTTGGTCCAAGGGTGACTGCAAGGGTTTCTCCAGCTCTACAGTTTCTAAAATTTTTATATTTTTCTAAAAAAATATAGATCCTCCTACAGTACTTGCTTAAATGTGAACTTTTTAGTATTCGTATTATTAAAAAGAACCGCCCAAACAGTCACACAATTCTTTTTTTTCTCTGAGAAATCCTCTTTAGCATTTCACAGGAAACTAAAGGAAACAAGATTTTACCTTACTTTCATTTTTCTGCTTTCTGCTTTAATAACTCTGCCGCAGGAGTGTGTTTCTTTTAAACGGTCAAACCGAAGTCCACTTCAGACGGAGTACATCCACGTCTAATAAGCAGTGGCTGAGGAACATCCTGTGCTCATGTAATGAGGTTTGACTAAGAGGCTTCTTCATCTCTACATGAGCACATATTCACTTAGTCTCATCTGAGGTTTCTTTTCTGGAACTTTTTGACCATTTACTGATCAGTTTGACGTTTTTTTTTCCTCAAACTAAATCCCGAAGATGGCAGATGGATAAATAAAAGGTTTGCTGTGGCACCGCTGTTGCACCGTAACCATTAGCCACCGTCGCGCACCTTACACGTTTCTCCTAACGTTTCGTTAATGTGGTGATCATGGCTGCTGCGTTACAGCGTACGGCAATAACCTCTCTTTTAAGTCAAATTTGAAAACTCTAATGAGTTGTTCTCTTTTTCCAAATGAAACATTACATAATACAGGGATTCTTTCCAAAAGGGCAGTGAACTCCAAATGTGGTTTTAATGGAAATCAATGAGGCATCTTTGGAGCACAAAGGTGTCTCCAGGGAGTGTCTGGCACTACATTAAACACAATCAAATCACTTTAGCTGCTAAACCTTAGATATCCAGTGATAGTTAATACTCCTACTTCAACAATTACACATTCATCCCCCCCCAAAATATTCCTTTAACCTGTAGTAACCTTTAGCATAACAATCAAAGATACTTTTTTTTTTGCCATCCTGCCCAGTGTAGCCTTCACATTTTCACACACAAAACTATTTGGCATGACCAAGTCTTTATAAGAGTAACCATTCATCATACAGTACACGAAAAATACTGTAATGTACTGTATTTTTCAATAGTCACTGTACACACTGTGATGAGTAACAACGGGGTCACATCGTCTCTAAAACCCCAGCACCTGAGCAGGGCTTCTGGGCTCTGATGGTGAGTATCTATCTATTAAAATGTATCCAAGGAAAGTAAGGCAGTGACGGGCGACAGGTTCCTGGGCCACGTAGACTTATTGATGTTCGTACTGCGTTCACTCAAACAAATGAGACGCTGCAGCTCGAATCTCCGTAAAAGCTGCAGATGTTAGATGTTAGACATGATAAATAGGTGTCAGGACAAATAGTACAACGCAGACGGTTACACACTGGGCCACACCAGGGACTTCTAGAGAGTGGAATATATAAACTATATAAACTATATGAACTACTAGGTGAGCCAAAAATAGACCACAGAGAACTAAGAGGTTGGCACTGTGTGATGGACTGGCTTTTTAAAGCACACTGATGTGTGTTTGTGTCTCCAGGACGCCCAGTTGGCAGAGGTTAGCAGCGTTATATTTGTGGAACGTTCTGCCATCAGTACTGACGGAACTTGGACACACACCACCAACCTAAGCATGGCTATGCACTGTGTGAACTGTCAATGCCGTTTCATTGAAAAGGTTAACATGGTCTGATGGGAGTCGCTATCTTTTACCACCTGTACCACAAGCAACTGCCATTCCAATACCCGCCCCGCCCACATCTCAATCTAATTAAAGATCTGTGGGATGTACTTGACTAAGTCCTGTGCCCATTCCAACAGTGATTCGACTGGACATTCAGCTCTGTTAACATCAACGCCTGTGCAATGAGAGATGTTTATGGTTCACTAGATAATGAAACTACGGTCATAATATTGACCCTCATGTAGATGAGCTTAAAGGCTGGAGTTTTTAATGTGTTCCTTAAGACTTTTCTACCCATTTAGTATCCATCCATCCATCCAAACATCCATCCATCCATCCAAACATCCATCCATCCATCCATTCATTCATCAGCTACCGAGACTCTGGACCCAATTATCAGTCACTGATGAGGGCAGGGTACAACATGTATTTTCACTGTAATTGCTGTAAATATACATGTATAAAATACATGTACAGCAACCCCCCACACATGCAGTCACACAGACATGTTCATGTTCTCACAGTTTGAATGTGGGAGAGCAACAAAAAAGATTTTCTTTTTTTCTTCTAAATCTATAACCCAGGTTTGCCACTGACTTGACTTCCAAGAATTGATTCTATATTTTTACCCTGGATCAATACTAACATCTCATCCAGTATAATATTTACACTGCCTCAAGCCATGGATAAAATAATTAGTAATCCCTTGCACCAAATCAATGCATGAGTTAACAGGCGGCGTTGTACATCGTGCAACGCCGGGGTCAGGGTTATGATTGGATGTTATCTGTCTGTATGGATATAGATTGGTTAACAGGCAGTTAGTGCTCGAGATACTGGTCGGTGCCACAAACCACACTGCTGAAACAAATGATAATAGTTCAACCTATTACATTCAAAAGCGCTAGATAACCTAAAATGAGATGACATTTAAAATCAAAATCAAAATGTGTTTGGTCGTTCGTACATGTCATTAGATATGGTTCAAATTCATGTAATGTAATGTAATGTAATTTCAGGTCTTTGGTATCAGTTTCTCTTTAAACGAAGACATTACTTTTGGCTTCAAACACAAATTCGGCCACAACATCAAA